TGGGAGTTTAAATTATAGCTCATTTGGCTCTTGCTTCTTCCACCAACTGAGGCTCCCACATGGCCAGGTTTGAGTAGAGCACTCACTGGATTCGTGCAGCCTTTGCTGACGCCCTTGTCACCCATGAGTAGTCTGCAGACAGGCAGCATTGTTGAATTTTGAAGCTTGCTTTTCCGAAGTTGATGCTCTAGAGCTCCACAAGTCTGTAGCACCACGGTGTTCCGTCATAAGCCTTAACCTACGCCAAGATGCTTCGCAAAGGACGGGCAAGCTTGCTCGGTGTAGCATATTGCACAGTTTGAAAATTCATCGAAGACGTGCCATGCTAGAACTAGCAACTGGCTTGCAGGAAGTGACCTTGCCAAAAGCATTGGTGGAGATCTGTTTGAAGCACAGCCTATCATGCGTTCCTAAGATCTTGAATTCCCCTAAAACCTAAACCCTAAACTGACCATGACGTATGCCTGGGCAAACTCGCCCCTATAAGGATGAATTCGCTTTGCAGCCACATGCTTATAAGGGCGCAGTTGCATTACTTCGGAACATGATGCTGGTGTTGCACTGCAGCAGCTGCTGCTGTTCCTTGCCTCTCTTTGCTGGTCATGTTTGTGTGTTTGTTGCGGCGCTGGTGCTCGTGCTCGTGGTCGTCCTGGTCGTGGTCGTGGTGGTGGCGGTGGTGGTGGTTGTTTTGATGATCGTGGTTGTTTTGGTGGTCCTGGTCGTGGTGGTGTTGGATGTCGTAGTGACCGCGCCTGTTTCTTTTGTCAGTGAAGAATACCTTTATAGCGACGGAATCATCTCCAGCTTTGCAGAGTATCCCCGTTGAAGCCCCTGGGGCGGGGAGGAAGGTGTTTTCCCTTTCAGCCTGTGCTCCGGAAGGACGCAGTCTTCTTTTTGCATGCCGCGAGCGGCGTTTCACACCAACTCTTCATTTATCCTCAGACGATGCGAGTTGCAAAAAGCACTTTGTGCTTAAGCTCAGGGTGGGCTGAGCGGATACAGCCTCACAGCAGTGTTCTGCAATCTATGTGAGCTTGCTCAGATTGACTCCTTGCTTCCTGGCCATTCGTGGCAGGACCAGCCACCCATGTGCATGGCAGGGCCAGGCCCGACGAGGCTTCAGCTGAAGCGTTTAGGGTTTAACCGTAGCACTTGATTAATTTGCGGGGGGCCACCGCTCCCCAGCCGGAATAAGGAATTGAGGGCGCCAGATTAACAGAATGATTGGGGCTCCTGGAACTCAATTAAAGAAGAATAGGAATGCATTCCTGCGTCATTGGGGCTCGTGGACCTCTGTTAGTAAAGATGAGAATAGGAATGTATTGAATATCTCTAATATCAGGATTGGTTACCCAAAAAATCTGGAAATGTAGTCTTTTCCCCATACGAAAAGCCACCTAATTGTAGCTAGTCTTTTGATCCTAATTCTACCCAATTTGTTTCTTTAAATGTGTTCCCTTTTATTGTTCTAGTGCTCGGATTAGGGGTTACACGGTTAGACATTCGTGGCTTCGGACTGCAAGGTTTGCTTTGGGCTACTGCCCGTGCCCAGTAAGAGTGTGTGACAAGGATATATTTTTAAAGGACCGTATAAACTCATCTTATACTTTGGGTACTGCCCCACCTCAGCAACAGTTGGATAATAAGTATACTAGGGTTATATATATAGCCCTTAATAGGACCCCTAATATAGACTGTTACTGGGTGGGGGCAGTACCCAACTTAAACTTATCATCTGAATTTTACTGAGTCGCGGCAGCATCCAAGGTTTGCTGCATTGTCCGTCGCAACGCTATCATCACAGGTACCCGGCAACATACGCAGTGTGAAAGCGCGACCATCCTCAACGACGCTGTGCTTGTTACAGCTGGGGGCTTGGTAGCGCTCCCTTTAGGGGAAATATACTGGAGAGTTGCACAATTTAAGGTTTAGGGAGATTATCTAGGTGAATGTAAACGATACTTGAAACTCCTATTTACCGTGGCGCATTGCCGTGCTGAACCTTGGGCAAGCATAGCACGACATACAGTAACAGGCTCAAACTCGTTGTGCCGCCGAATCATGTTTGTTTAGGGTTTAGGGTTTTAAGTCATGTCCAGCATGTTTGCATCAGACAGGCTTTGCGATCAGAAATACCCGCAAGTCCATGCAATGACCGCCTCCACATTATGAGAACAATAAAGAATAACAAGCCCTCCCGGCGCCCCTGAACAATAACCACGCAAAACAAGATAGTACCATTACATATTTATGGGTATTGCGTTTAATAGGGGGGGAGGATATGGTAGTTTCCCAAAATAGGGGGACCCCAATGTGGACCCCAAAATATTGTAATCCTTATTATGGGGACCCCCAAAAAGGTACCCCTAATTTGGGGAAATTCCCATATCAGGGGAGGGCAGTAGCTTCAACAGTTGCCCGGCACCGGGCTCGTCTAAACAGCGGTGACAGCACGCAGATGGCATGGATTTCGATCACGCAAAGGACTCCCTTGCCGAGCCTCCTGTCGCAGATGCTGGGGTATTCATGGGAAAAGAAGTTTAGGGTTTAGGGTTTGTTTTGGACCACAATCCCTACACAATCTTATACAGCCCAGAAGTTGTTAAGTTTATCATGGACCACAACCCCAATGTAGTCTTATATAGCTTAACCCTAAACCCTACAGACCCTAAACCCGAAATCCCAAACCCTAAAACCCTATGAACCCTAAACCCCTAAACCCTAAGCCCTATAAGTCCCAAACCCTAAACCCTATAAATCCTAAATCCCAAATCCAACGTACTAAGCTCTAAGCCCTACAAACCCTGAACCCCATAAACCACATAGACCCTAAACCCTAAATCCTGAACCCCAAACCCTATTAACCTATAAACCCAAAATCGCAAACCCTAAGCCCCAAAGCATATCCCAAGCCTTAAAAAACCTAAACCCTGCGTCCTAAGCCCAAAAAAGCCTTAACCCTGAGCCCTAAACCCTAAACGCTAGAAGCCCTAAACCCTAAATCCGGAACCCTAAACCCTATGAACCCTAAACCCTAAATCCTGAGCCCTGAACCCTATGAACCCTAAATCCTTAACTTTCAACCCTGAACCCTGAATCCTATAAGCCCTAATTCTCCTAAACTCTATAAACCCTAAACCTCATAAACCCTAAACCCCAGGAAGGCTACCCTAAACCCTATAAACCCTAAGCCCCATGTACCCTAAACCCTAAAACCCCTAAACCTTAAAACCTTAAACCCTAAACCCCCTAAGCCCTAAACCCCATATACCCTGAACCCTAAACCCCCTAAGCCTGAAACCCCATGAACCCAATCCATCCCAGGAAGGCTGGGCACATTGACAGCCTCCGAAGCCAGCTCGGTGCCGAAGCGGCCCAGGTGGATGATGCCACGTGGTTTAGGGGGTTAGGGGGTAATACAGTAATAAGGGGTTATATAGGGGTTATATAGGGATAATGGACAAGAACATGGCAACTACTTTTTGGGGTTTAGGGGGTTTGCGGGTTTGGGGGGTTTGGGGTTTAGGGGCCGGATTGCACAGATTTCTTGTTGTTTCAATTTCGTTCTTTGTTTTGTTTTGCTGTTCAGGGTTCGGGTTTGGTTTTTTTGCGGGTTCGTTGAGGGTTGAACAGGATTTCAAGTTGTTCAATTTCGGGTTTAGGATTCAGGTTTTCATAGGTTTTACTGTGTATTGAGGATTGTACTTACTTTTGACTTTTTCTTACCCTCAATCCCTACACCATCCCTATATAATCCCTATATGTAATCCCTGAACCCTAAACCCTACTCCCTAAACCCTCATTTGGTCCCTATGAAGTCAGAAAACGCTACCTTTTCCTAGGTCTGGCTACTGCGCTATGCGCTGAGCTTCGAGTTGCGGCTCGCGGAAGGCAGGGACCTAAGGGTTTTGGGTTTGCGATTTTGGACTTATAGATCTAATTATAGGGTTTAGGGTTCAGGGTACTAAATCCTGAGCCCTAAACCCCAAACCCTCACCCAAAAAGTATCTAGAATAATGGCATTTTGGGCTATGTTTAAGTGTTTTGGGCTAGTATTTGCTTACGTTCAGACCTAAACCCCAGCCCAATCCCTGGAAGGGGCCGATGCTGCACGAAGAGCCCTCCGCTGGCGTGTGGACCACCAGGAATTGGTGAATGCGGCGAAGACCCGCAGGGTTCCTGCATATTCCTGGAATTTGTAAAGTTTATTTTGGACCATAAAATTATTATGGGCCATAATCGCTTCCCTCTGATATTATACTAAACCACTCTAATATGACATACGGATGCCCCAGAATTCCAAATTCTGAAATCTGCACCCAAGACTATTTTTCAAGGGCCAAGACTGAGTTAACTACGGCTCTGATCCTCTGAATTAGGGGGAGGGGTCGCGAAAAGGATCCTTGAGGATCGAGATTTTGAGTGTTTTTGAATGGTTTTTTTATAAACGAATGTATATAGAATCCGAGTGCGATTTTAATCGTGTTTACTGCGATCCTAAATCGTTTTTGATTAGCTAGATTTGAGTTCAATTTCAATTGATTTTTCATCTATAATTAGACCTATAAGTAGGTAGAATTTAATTAATGATCAATTGGTTTTTGATGGGTTTGATTACGCTTCTGGTAAATTAGGATTGGATGTATACAGTTGTTCATTAGATGTTAATGGCTTTTACTTTGATTTTAATGGTTTTATTGCATTTTTATTGCGGTTTTATTACGGTTTTGATTAGATTTAGTCGGCTTTTTATTCGATTAATCGACTTCCATTATTCCATTTTAAGTAGAATATTTAGAATTCAATAGATAGAATCTCATTGTATACCCCCTCCTTAATGTGCAGTCGTACAATAAATACCACCGCCCCAATATTAAATACGGTTCGGAGTATCTACATAAGGGCGGTGCGCCTTTCAATATCAGGGGAAAAGGATTAATCCCGATATAACCTTCTGCCACCCATAAGAGTATGGTATAGGGCTCCCGAATCCATCCCAGGTTCCCCCGGGGCTTTCCATGGACGACGTGCGAGCGCTACAGACCATGCTGGTGTCGGGGTTCCATTTCTGCACAACGTTCGGCGACCCTATCTTCATCATACGGTCTGGTCAATCGAACCAAAGTCCTTTGCTAGACATGCTGGGTGAAGAGAAGGTGGAGCTGTGGTTGACCTATTTGAGTGAATGTGCCTGGCAGTTTTGTGAGGCTGCAACACGAAGACGGGGCTACTTTGTCAAGCAAATCACCTTGCAAGACTTTGCTTCAGCCTCTCTGTCACAAGATCGTAGATTCTTCAGAGTTCTGGGGAGAAGCTCGAAGATGAACGAGTGGTTGAGGCCACAATTTCTTGGTAGAGCCATCTTCTTCAACACGCCTTCCTGGATGAGCCTTGCCTTTGCCATTGCATCAAAGCTGATGAGCCAAAAGACGCTCTCAAAGATCTGGGTACATCGCCACTGGGTTGCTGTCAAGGACCTTGTATAAATAACTATATTAAGCAAACCGCTATGATGTACTTTGTACCCAGAATATTGTAATTCATATTAGGTTCCTTAAGCCTTAAGACCTGAATGAAAGGGTGCTAATGGGAACCCCGAACAGGGAACCGCAAGAATATAGCAGGATTATAAGAGAACGTAAGGACCGCTAGGTATATTCCTGTTGTATTCCTATTTTCTTGGGGTTCCCTGTTTGGGGTTCCCAGGAAAACCCCTTTACCAAACCCTTAACAGCAAACCAGGCCAAGCAGTCGGCCAGCCCGGCGCCAACATGTGCCCATATGCGCAGCAACTTCTCAACCCTGATCGCCTACCCACCTTTTTAGGAGGTGGGGCTTTCCCCAAATTAGGGGTCCCCTTTAAGGGATTACAGGGGATATATAGGGGATAAAAAGGACATGTAGGGAATACATAGGGGTTTACGGTTTCCCAAAATTACGGTACCATTTTGTCCTCATAATATAAGGAATATAGTATGTTGGGTCGGGTCTGCATTGGGATCCCCTTATGCTGAGAAGCACCTAAGCCCTCAACCCCTAAACCCTAAACTACCAGGTACATGTACCTGTCAAGAGCATGGAGGCTGTGTGAACGGCATGCTAAACAGCAACTTTGGGAAGCACTCCGCGGATGCTCAGCTGTCAGTGGGTTTAGGGTTTTAGGGTTTGGGGTTTAGGGACTAAGAGTTTAGGGATTTCGGGTTTAGGGGTTCAGGGGTTTAGGGGTCTAGGGTTTATGATTATAGGCCTCCTTCAGTAGATAGAAAATGGCTTTGGGTATATTATACTAAGATCCCCAGATAATTACCCCATATTCTATCTACCTCAGGAGACTATAACCTTTGACCCAAGAATGCCCTAAACCCTAAACCCTAATGCATCCCGGTACAGATCCCAAGAAGTCTCCTTCTGGGACCGGAGAGAAGTTCATTCGTGTTCTTGTAGGGTTTAGGGTTTAGGGTTTAGGGTTTAGGATTTAGGGTTTAGGATTTAGGATTTAGGATTTAGGATTTAGGGTTTAGGGTTTAGGGTATTTGAGTACTCCACGCGAAAATGCTCGGGGTATTCAGCGGACAAGGAAGCGCTTAAACTTTTTTGGGGTGTAGCATAATACCTAATACAAGCAAGAAGGTTGATGGCTAACCGTGGGAAAGCCGCAGATACTGGACACCATGCCCTAAATCCCTGGCAACTAAGGATGATATTGCTGACAGTCCAAGCATAATCTTACCGCTGCTTCGCCTGCCTGAGTGTGAGGAGATTGAAGCCTTGGCACATAGCAGCAAGCCGTTTGCTCCTGCTCCACAAGAGGCGCCCGTGGAGGTGAATCCTCCAATTTCATGTTGGCGGCGTTGTTGCTGGAGGCGAAGACCCCTTGCAGCTAGCGCGGATGTCTGACTGCTACAGCTTGTGCCCTGGCACAGCACGTCTTGGGCGCGCTCATGTACAGAAAGTGCCTGTCATCTTTCGCAACTTACATGTAGCAATGTTGTGAGAGTTCAGCTTGTAATGTACTGGAGACTGCGAAGCAGGCAGGTTGACTGTCTGCACGGGCAAGTTACACAGCATTTACACCCCTACACCCCAAACTCTGAAACCTAAACCTTAAGCCCTAAATCATAAATAGTATGAGCTTCCATTTTGCTTTCCAGTGTCCCTATAGAACCCTACATTATCCTAAGCAGCTGTTTCCGCTCAAGCCTTCAGCCTGATCTTTGTTTCGGGCAGTTCCTGAATTTGCTTCAGGGCTGCTGTCGTGCTGGACATGTTGGGCTGCTCTGGCTGCATAGCCCTACATGTGAGCCGTGTGCCTTTGGTGAGTAGGAGAGAAGATCACTTTCATCCCCTGAGGAATTAGTTTGAAGCTTGTATTCTAGTCTAGAACTTTTAGGGACCTTTCAACACCTGAACCCTAAACCCTAAGCCCGAACGAAGCAGGAGACAGGAAATAGAGGCACGAGTCATGAAAAAGATAAGGCATGAGTCAGGAAAACGAAAGGCACGAGTCAGGAAAAAGAAAGGAACGCGTCAGGAAAAAGAAAAGCACGAGTCTGGAACAAGGGCGCCAGTTAGGAAAGACATGAGGCACGAGTCCGGAAAAAGGCCGCGAGTCAAGAACACAAAAAGGCGGGGGCCAGGAAAATGTCCACAAGTCAGGAAAAACTTACGAGTCAGGAGAAAGGCAGGTACGGACATCTGCTAAAACCAGCCCCTATTGCACCTTGCGAGAATAAAAAAAGAAATCTCAGCTCAGAGACATGACAGATCGAGGGAAAGCCAGGTACGGACACAGTTTAGGGTTTAGGGTTTAGGGTTTAGGGTAGGTTAAAACCGGCCCCTTTTCACTTTGCGAGAAGTGGGACAACATGACAAAGGGAAAACCAGGTACAGACATATTTAAAACCACCCCGTTTGTCACCTTGCGATAATTAATTAGAAGGACATGGCAGAGGGAAAGCCAGGTACGGACATATGTTAAAACCAGCCCGTGCCACCCTGCGAGAAGTAGGAAGATATGACAAGGGGAAAACCACATATTTAAAACCACCCCGTTTGTCACCTTGCGATAACTAATTGGAAGGGCACATGACATGACAGAGGCAAAGCCAGGAACGGATATATGTTAAAACTAGCCCCTTTTCACCCTGCGAGAAGTAGGAAGACATGACAAGGGGAAAACAGGTACAGATATGTTAGGAGGACATGACAGAGGGAACGCCAGGTACAGACATATGTTAAAACCAGCCCTTTTCACCCAGCGAGAAGTAGGAAGGCATGACAGTTGAAAGGGAGAAAACCAGGCACGCACGTATGTTAAGCCACCTCCCTTCATCTTGCAAAAGATAAAAAGAAAAGACAGCTGAGAGAGGGAAGCACAGCACAGACATATGCTTGAAACACTTCACCTTGCGATGAGCAGAAGGACATGACAAGGGGAAAGCCAGGTACAGCATACGTTACAACTATTACTTTGCGATAAATGGGATGACATGACAGAGGGAAAGCTAGGTACAGACATACGTTATGACCCCGCCCCCCCCCACGCTTTGTCCCAACTCATGCCGTTCCGACTCTCGCCTCAACCAACTAAACCCTGTTATAGGTCTAATGAAGTGGATTACAGATGAACCATAGTCTAAATTCCTTAAAAGGAAGTTACATAGGAGATTATATAGGGGACTACTATAGGGGTTATTAAGGGGGATACTAGGAGTTTAGACAATGGCTCAGATGAACCTAGGCCTGCTGGATCCGAGCCCCGACGAATTCCCAGCGCCCGACGTGGCCTCAGTTTGTCACAGCCACATAAGCTTTAGTCAAAGCTCCTTAAAGGGGTTATATAGCGTTTAGGGTTTAGGGCTTGGGATTTAATTTAGGGTTTAGGGTCTAAACTCCTTAAATGAGTGGTTGTATACGGGGTTCTAGAGGGGAGTATATAGGGACCATTTAGGGGGATACTAGGAGTTTAGATTATAGCTCGCATGGTAGGTTCTCACAAGCATACTTAGGCCCATTTCGCGTACTTTGGATATTTGGCGCATGTAATGGGTATCCTAAACCCTAGACCCTGGTAACCAACAAGGGAGCATGAACTTCACAGTCCCCCCCCGGCCCTAACCACACACGAAGTATGAACGGGATTAGGTTATTGCTTGCGGCTTGGGCCTCAGGGTAAAAGGTTCTTTGAGTTACCAAACCCCGGAAATCATACGACCTTGCTTGTGTAATTTGATAGTGATAGGATCCTGATTACGTACAGGGGTTGGGATAATTTAGTTCCCTTGTCAACCCTAAACCCCTAACCTTAAATCCTGAACCTTGAACCACTGAACCTTAAACCTTAAACTTAGGCTCTAAACCCTTATACCTCAAACCTTTAACCCTGAACCCCTAAACTCTGAAAAAACACACACCCAGAACCTTAAACCCTGAACGCCTAACCCTGAACCTTAAATCTTGAACCTGAAGCCTAAACCCCTGAACCCTTAAACCTTAAACCCTGACCCCCTAACCCCTAACCCCTAGACCCCTAAA